TATTAGATAAATTGCGAGGGTACAGTGGTTGTTGTTGGTAGCTGTCAATCATATTTGATTCTATTTTTTTTTTTTAGCAGAACTTAGGCTGTTTGTTTTTTTTTTAATTTTTTTAATAATTGATTCACATTTTGTTTGATGTGTTTGTTTTTTTTATTTTGCCATTTGATTGGGGACTTTCCTTTTTGAATTTTCCTCGGAGTTCAGTATTTTTGTGATTTTACTTTTTTTGTCATGCTGGGGTTTTCCATAGCTTACTATACAGTATGGGTTTCGCTCATGGCTAAGGACGTACAGTGACCTTAAGTTGTTTGTCTTATGGTCACTGGTGGATAGTTGGCTCATAGGCAATCATACCACATCTCTTTTTGAAATTTACACTTTTAACCTAGCTACTATAGTTTTAAAGATAACAGCAAAAAATGTGGAAATTGGTATAAATGGATATTTATGGAGCAATAACTCCAAAATAGGTTGCTGGATTTTTTTCAAATTCCCCAGATAGAAAGATCATTTTGTGCTGGTCATTTTTGCCATTTACAATTTAAACCTAGCTCTAAAAATATAAAATATTGACAAAACTGCAAAAATCGGTCAAATTGGATATTTCAGGGGTAACTACTCTAAAGCCAGTTGTTAAATTTCTCTAATGTTCAGGGTAGATACATCTTGTCATGATGACATTATTGCAATTTACATTTTTAATCTAGCTCCTTAAGTTTTTAACATCCAATGGCATATATTTCAAGCGTGAGAACAATTCAACAAGTCATACTATAGGAAGGTTATGCGAATTATAGTCATTTCGTACCCTAACCATTTTGTACCCCCATTTCGTACCCTGGCAAAAACCATTTTGTACCTTGACCATTTCGTTCCTTGACCATTGAATATTTACATGTATACCATTTTGTACCTCATGGAAAATTTATAGATATAGTATTTCGTCCCTCATGGAAGTTTATATGTATGCCATTTCGTACCTCATGGAAGATTTATATGTTTTTGATTTCTTGGTAAAAATTGTCTCATTGATGTGCACCCTTTCGTACCTTACGGAAGATTTATATGTATAACTTTTTTGTACCTCATAGAAGATTTGTATGTATACCATTTCGTACCTCATGGAAGGTTTGTATGTATGCCATTTCATACCTTGTGGAAGATTTGTATGGGCGGTAGAGGTCACGAGAAATACCTAAAATTTAAAATTAAAGCACCTATGAGATATTGTATCTGAAGGAATATAATAAAGTCAATAAACGAAATTTTTTGAAAACTGTAAAACTTTGTATTTAAGATATTTATTTCAAATATTAGCTAGCGCTTTAGTAACAGTTCACATTTCTGCCGACAACATTGATCTTGTTACTTTGGTATAAACTTGTAACTCAAGACACACGCCGTACTGACATATAGTTTTAAAAAGGTAGCATTCTATTTAATTGGATTTAAAATGTTTATTGAATGCACGTGCCATTTGAAATTGCAACGTGTGCCTAAATATTGAGATATATTCAATTGATTATCGTAAGATGTAGTTGAACCTAAATGTATGTATCATATGCATGGATTTTTTTAAAATAATACTTTTAGAAAATATGCAATACAAATTAAAAAAAGATATTTACCAAACATTTTTGAAATTTAGAAGGTTAGATATATATAAGGATACAAAATAAATGAACTTGTAATTTCTCAAATTGAAAAAGCCATAGCAAGTTCTTTGATTGGTCACAAAAGGTGCAAATTCTTATGCAAACATTTTTATTCATGGCTTCCTTCTTGGGTGAATATCAGCTTGTGTCCCTTTTCACTGCATTTCCTGACAAAAACAACTGTTAATAACTATAAAAACAGTTGCAGATAATAATTCCTTTGTTGGTTTATTAACCTCATACTAGTAGAGTTCAAAAATTCATTAAGGATACATCCTGCAAACAAACACATTAAAGTGTAATTAAAACTATTAAAGTTTCCAAGTGCTGCTTAATCAAACCAATCATCGGTCTTTATAACATTTCTATGGCTGGATGCATTTTATTTAGTTATATTTAAAATAAAATGCTCCGCAGGGCGCAGCTTGATACGACCGCAGAGGTCGAACCCTGAACAGTTGGGGCAAGTATGGACACAACATTCAAGCTTGATACAGCTCTGAATTTGGATTGTGATTAAATATTTGACACAGCATAGGTTTCTGACACAGAATGAATGTGGTCTAAGAACTTAAAAATTTTAAATTGGACATTCACCTATTATGGTCCAATATCCAAAATCTAAATACATGGTTAGATTCAGCATATCAAAGAACCCCAAGAATTCAATTTTTGATGAAATCAAACAAAGTTTAATTTTGGACCCCGATTTGGACCAACTTGAAAACTGGGCCCATAATCAAAAATCTAAATACATGTTTAGATTCAGCATATCAAAGAACCCTAAAAATTCAATTTTTGTTAAAATCAAACTAAGTTTAATTTTGGACCCTTTTGACCTCAATGTGGACAAAGTTGATAACAGGGCCCAAAAATCAAAAATCTAAATACATGGTTAGATTCAGCATATCAAAGAACCCCATATATTCAATTTTTGTTGAAATCAAACAAAGTTTAATTTTGGACCCCGATTTGGACCAACTTGAAAACTGGGCCCATAATCAAAAATCTAAATACATGTTTAGATTCAGCATATCAAAGAACCCTAAAAATTCAATTTTTGTTAAAATCAAACTAAGTTTAATTTTGGACCCTTTGGACCTTAATGTAGACCAATTTGAAAACGGAACCAAAAATTAAGAATCTAAATACACGGTTAGATTCAGCATATTAAAGAACCCCAATAATTCAATTTTTGATGAAATCAAACAAAGTTAAATTTTGGACCCTTTTGACCTCAATGTGGACAAAGTTGATAACAGGGCCCAAAAATCAAAAATCTAAATACATGGTTAGATTCAGCATATCAAAGAACCCCATATATTCAATTTTTGTTGAAATCAAACAAAGTTTAATTTTGGACCCCGATTTGGACCAACTTGAAAACTGGGCCCATAATCAAAAATCTAAATACATGTTTAGATTCAGCATATCAAAGAACCCTAAAAATTCAATTTTTGTTAAAATCAAACTAAGTTTAATTTTGGACCCTTTTGACCTCAATGTGGACAAAGTTGATAACAGGGCCCAAAAATCAAAAATCTAAATACATGGTTAGATTCAGCATATCAAATAACCCTAAAAATTCAATTTTTGTTAAAATCAAACTAAGTTTAATTTTGGACCCTTTGGACCTTAATGTAGACCAATTTGAAAACGGAACCAAAAATTAAGAATCTAAATACACGGTTAGATTCAGCATATCAAAGAACCCCAATAATTCAATTTTTGATGAAATCAAACAAAGTTAAATTTTGGACCCTTTGGACCTCAATGTGGACCAATTTAAAAACGGGGCCCAAAATCCAAAAACTTAATACACGGTTAGATTCAGCATATTAAAGAACCCCAAGAATTCAAGAATAAAACCCCATTGAAATTGATCAAGAAATAAGCAATTTATACGAAGTATCTTCTTTTGCACAATCTGTGCAATTGAATATTTCTTGCTATTGCGCAATACTGTACAATTGACAATTTCTTGCTATTGCGCAATATTGTGCTATTGGATATTTCTTGCTATTGCGCAATACTGTGCAATTGAAGATTTCTTGCTATTGCGCAATACTGTGCAATTGAAGATTTCTTGCTATTGTGCAATACTGTGCAATTGAAAATTTCTTGCTATTGCACAATACTTATTAGATAATAATTTACACATCCTGTTTGGTGTGTATCTCCTACCATATCATTATTATTTGCTTTTAAATATTAATCAGAAATAACCAACTTAAAATGGAAAATTTTAAAAGAAAAAAAAAAGGAAAAAAAGAAAAAAAAAGGAAAAAAAAAAATCCCCCCCCAAATTTTTTGAACCCCCTTATGATTCATCACCCCCAAACTCAATCCCAGCCTTCCCTTTGTGGTATGGTACCTTGCAGTACAATTTCAGAGAGATCCATACACTTGAACACAAGTTATTGTCTGGAAACTAGAAAAATGCTTATTTTTGGCCCCTTTTTGGCCCCCAATTCCTAAACGTTTCGGGCAATTACCCCCAAACTCAATTCCAGCTTTCCCTTTGTGATATGGAACCTTGTAGTACAATTTCAGAAATATCCAAACACTTACACACAAGTTATTGTCATGAAACTAGAAAAATGCTTGTTTTTTGCCCCTTTTTTGGCCCCTAATTCCTAAAATTTGGAGGCAATTACCCCCAAAATCAATTACAGCCTTTCCTATGTGATATGGAACCTTGTGGTACAATGTCAGAGAGATCCATACACTTACACACAAGTTATTGTCTGGAAGTTACAAAAATGCTTATTTTTGGCCCCTTTTTGGCCCCTAATTCCTTAACTGTTGGTACCATAACCCCCAAAATCAATCCCAACCTTCCTTTCGTGGTATTGAACCTTATGGTAAAATTTCATGGAGATCCATTCACTTAAACTAAAGTTAGAGTGCGAAAACCAATGTGTCTTCGGACGACGCCGGACGACGACGACGCCGGACGACGACGACGCCAACGTCATACCAATATACGACCAAAAAATTTTTAATTTTTGCGGTCGTATAAAAAAATCAAAATGATAACTTTTACAAATATATGATACGAAATAGTAAACATGTATTTAGTCTATGAGGTACGAAATGGTTGATGCAATGGTATGGCCCATAGGGTATGAAATGGTTTTTATTGTGGGTACGAAATGGTAAATGTTGGGTAAGAAATGGTAATTTTGGGTACGAAATGGCAGAGATACGAAATGGTCAAGGTACGAAATGACTTGCTCGGTTATGCAAGGTAGGGAAGAACTGGCATAAAGGGCAGGGAAATTTAAACTGACATTGAAAAATGAGGGTTAGTTGTATAGGGACAGTAATTATTGTATTTACCCGAGCCAAGAACTTCAGTTTCACTATCACTGGATTCTTCAGAAGGAATATTGTACTGGGGCCCAAAACCTTCCTCATCATCATTAGTTTCTGTCTCTGTCTCCTCGTCCTCCTCATCTTCTTCATATCCTGTAGAGGAGGGAGGTGTTATGTCCTCTATACCACTCAGGGTGGGTCTCAAATCTGAAATTATTTAATCTTGGGCATGAGATGTTCACCATTTGTGAAATAAAACAAAAATGTATGCATGAATACAAGTACTTCTTTCATGAAATATAACAGGGTTTAACTGAATTAAAATTCCTTTCTCACTTTTGTTCATTGTTTTAAAACAAGGTTAGAGTATTTTAAACTTCAAGTGATTTCTACAAGACATACTGATACTTAAAATAAAGAAAAACCTACAATTTGTTTATTCTTTGTATTTTTTGGGGGGTATAACTTAACATCATAAAACTGATATTTTCCTAATTTAAAGATCACCTGCTTTTGGTGGTTCCTAATATATATATTATTTCAAAATTAGAATTAAACTGATGCATACTCAAGGTAACGATCATAAATGTCAAATTGCTCTCTTTTCCACAATTACTATAAATGGACATATTTATAAAACGTAAAATTTCATCTATCCTCATACTATATAGGTTTCTCATATTGTGTTTAATAGCATTACCAAGGGACAGAACTCTGGGCAACTGATATTCAAATGTGTCACATTTTAACTTGACCTGGTTCCTTTGTTTTCAAACTTCTAAATCAGTTACTTAATATATTGATTGGAAACCTAAATGTTTGGTTATTGTTCTTCATTATCAAGGGACATAACTCTAGCACAACAGATATTTAAATGTGTTAGATTTTTAATTTTACCTGGTTCCTAATATGACAAATGTGAAACTGTCAAATCTAATGTCAACATGTGTTTTATAGTCCCTAACAACATTAATGAATTTCAAATGATTTTGTAACGGCTAAATATATTAGTTACCTAATGGAAAGCAATTCCAAGACATATGGATACAAATGGACAAGGATAAAGCTTTATAAAAATGACTATGACACAAAAAATACAAGAATGATCTTTTCAAAGAATTTTGTTTGAGAGATATATGTGCACCAAACGTTGATTGCTCATTATTGATTTTACCATCAGGAGGTAGTACACCATAGGAACGTTTCACTGCATTAAATCCTTCTGTCATTCTTGGTTGACTTTCAAATCTTCCACCTGACTGATTTCTGTCACCTGATACAGTCATGCCTGATTGACCAAAATTCATATTCTGTGAAGAAAAGTGAATATGTTAACAGTACATTGTGTTAGCTAATAGATATATAGATAGTTTATTCTCATAAAACCATGTAAGTACAAAGGTTACAGAGAAGTTAAAAACATGCATACAAAATATAACAGCATGTCAACAAAAATAAATTACTAGCTAGTAACAGAAATTATTTCATAGCAACAACATGTTTCATACAGCATGTAACCAAAAGTTAGTGAGCAATAATATATCACATTGCATTAGTGTAAATAAAGCTTTAAATCAGTGATGTCATCCCTTAGTGCTAACACCCTGCATCATATACAAATTATAGTTGGAAATCTGCAGGAGGATTTTGGTAGACAACCCATGTACCCTGCAAGCATAATTTCACCCAAAAAATGGAAAAAATTGAACATCCTATTATTTGTGAAAAATTTGAAGAAAATCAAAATCCTGACAATGTGCACACTCTTAGTATAGTATAAAGGTTCTAGCTTGAGAACTGAAGGAGAAGTAAGCAAAACAATCCATGTACCCCACATCCAAAATTTCACCAAAAAAGTTTAACAATCTGTCATATGTAGAAAAAGTCTTGGTAAAACTTAGACATTAATTACATAACCAATTATTTTCTAATTAGTATTGATTGGTTTTGACAGGTTTTTATTGCAATAAACGTTCGGAAAAGAGACTTCAAAGAGATTTTGGTATTTAGTATAGACAGGGTTTAGTTGTAAATAACAATATGCAAATAGGGAAATACCAGGGGACTGAAATTAGGAGGGTTTAGCGTAAATGTCTGTTTTGTAAGACTTCAGTTAAGACAGTTTTCACTGTAATATATATATATGCACACCCTTATATGTTCAAAGACCCAGCATGATATAAAAGTTTCAGTTTGAAACTGAAGGAGGAGTTAACCAGACAAACCATGTACCCTATGTTGGACAGATTGATGGATGGAAAGAGGTAGAAAAATATGCCCAGGACATTGCAGGCATTAAAACCCTGCCTCTCATAAATGTATTAAAGCATATACCAAACCTAGAATTGTGAATTTTAAGAGATGCTACTGAATGTTATGCATTCAAAGGGTTTACCCAAGATGTTCATCATTTTCACAAATGTCAATGACATCTCCAGACCTACATCAGATTAATAAAAAATTCAGGTTTTTTTTCCAGTTTCCAAGGTAGGGTGGGAAATCGGAAGAGCAGGAAGTTTAGTCTTTTGGAATTTGACTGATAGCTTACATCTACACACATACATTTAAGGTATAATCTGTCTGAATGGTCTATTTAAACTGTTAACTAACTGTAAACCCAACAGGTTGTCTATTTTCACTTACAGCAGGTTTAGTCTGTTGAAATCTGATAGCCGATCCTGTAAGACTCCTGGCCTGTTGCTGTATTGATGAAGTCTGATATTGAGGCCTGACATCAGGCTGGTCAAACTGCTGTTGAACTTTGAACCCATTTGTCACTGGAGCCTCATTTTGTACTGGTGGTGCTGAAAAAATTATAAAAGTAATGACATGAAAAGTGACAAAACTAAAACTTTTAAGGAATGCATATTTTGTTCAATTTTAACAAGTGTTAGCTTAAAAAAGGATCAATTTGAAGCAGGTTTTACAGTGTTTTCCTTCAAAAACTGATTCATGATCACATGATCACAAAGCACCTGAGATCACCCTCAGTTTTTGTTTGGGTTCGTGTTGCTCAGTCTTTAGTATTCTTCGTTGTGTTTTGTGTACTGTTGTTTGTCTGTTAGTCTTTTTCTTTTTTAGCTATGGCATTGTCATTTTATTTACGACTTATGAGTTTGAATGTCCCTTTTGTATCTTTTGCCTCTCTTTTAGTAGAACCGATCTATGGATCGTGACAAGCAAGCATTCAATGATTGATGCAATAATTTCTAAACTTATATAAATATACCTTTCTGTTGATTCCTGCTGGCAACTGTTTCCACTGTCACAATCCTTGACATTGATAAATTCTCTAAAAATATAAAAATCAACAATGTTAGAGTTTCGGTGAGTGCATAAAGTATAAAATGGTAATCTTTTCTGTCTATCAATACTACATACTAAAATAACTCTACATATGAATATTGAGTTATCAGGAAACCAAAGGCTATCTGACATAATACTGTAAAAAATACTATTTTGCAGATACTTTATTCTGTGTTTAGCCTAATCTAGTAGATCTTGCAGCAATTTATTTTCACAAATTTCTAATTTTCTTAATGTATTAATATAAAGAAAGATTTCAATTTTTACATATTTGTAATAATTTGTATTCACATTATTTTTCTACTTGCAAAGTTTGCAATTTTTAGTTGGTTTATTAGTATTGTTCAGTTAAAAGAAGCATGTTGACACCTGTAGGGTATTAGCTGATGAATTTCAGGTAAACAAATTTTACATCAGCATAATAATCATATTTTTTCATAATTATGATATTTATGAAAAAGACTTCCTCATTCTTTGTTCTGTGAATATACAGTGATGTAAAGTTGAATTATTGGCAATCAAACCACATCTCTCCTTATTTTCATATTCCTCATTCTTTGTTCTGTGATGTAAAGTTGAATCATTTGTAATCAAACCACATCTCTCCTTATTTTCATATTCCTTTTTGATGTTCTGTCATGTATAGTTGAATCATTGCATTGGTAATCAAACCACATCTCTCCTTATTTTTATATTCATCTTTGAAAATTTCAACAACAAATGCCCTTGAGCAGTTTATATAAAATCATTTGATGAATAATAAATTACCTGGCCTAGTAGATTTAATCCTGGGAACAGATCTCCTGGACAAATGTTCCCTGAGCCGAGCCATCTTTTGTGGACTTGTTGTTTCTGTGATCTTACTACTGGACAGGGGAGCAGACTTTGATTCCAGTAGTGAATCTGCTAAAGAAGAAAGCTCAGCACTCCTATAAATATAAGTCATAATCAAAGTTAATTTTCAGTGTCAAAAACAAGATGTACCATGACCAAGGTCACTAATAATACCACTCATATATCTAGAAAGTATAATTTACAATTGCTAAAATAATGTGACAAATATTTCATTCATGTGCATGACATTTCAGAGAAATAAGTTTGGGCAAACAGGAACAAGAATGCATGCCTTGTTGCACTAAGCATACCCCCGCTTGTAATTCAAAGTTTTAGTAATGACTAACTATAAAGTCATTCTGTTCAGTAGTACCTGAGAAAAGTATGACAGAAACTTGTTGGACAAAGAGATGAACAGGCAGACAGACAGATGGAAAAACAGATGGACAGGTTAATGCAATATAGCACCCATTCTTAAAGTTGGGATATAATAAATACAAACCAGAATACTTACATACAATACATTTATATTTAGCCATGAAATAACTTATCAAAATTCAATAACCTAAAGTGACTTCAGCTTTCTGTACAGTAAAATACAGAACTCGAAATGTATGACAACATACCTAGATTCATTTTCTCTACTATACATAAAATTTCTAAGGACCTAGATTTACTTTCATACCCTACTGTAGAAAACAATAATATTAACGTTTGCAAGGATTCACTTCAATTTTCTACTACTCAGTACAATATCATAGACTTACCTAGACTCATTAAAAGTATCCTGCCAAGATGAGGTCTTGTTATAAATCTTTAGTTGTTTTAATTTACTTTCAAGGTCACTAAGTTCTAGATTTTGATGAAGAATTACATTTCTGTTACTTTTGATACTACGGTAGATCAAATCTGTGGTAGGCGTGTTTATCCTGTAACCAAAAAAAAGATTTAAAAAAAAGTGAAAACTGAAGATATTTTCTTATTATGTGAAAGAAAATTCAAATAACAAAGAATTTCTGAGGTAAGTAAAAAATATGGAGCAATAATTGAATTAAAGAACTTATATAAAAAAAATGCTTTCATTAAATACTGCAAAGATCTAAAGCTATGGCCAGTAAAAAAAATGCTCATTTCTTTAAAATTTTACTACATTATACAATAGGCCAGGTGTTTTGAGGTTTAAATGTTTTTCTTATGCATATCGTATATGGTGTCTAATAAAAGGAGGTGTTTTTTAATTGAAACATGTTTTGAAAGAAGAAAAAAAGTATAGCATGAATCTTCCATTTCATATATCTAGTTATTTTGAAAATAAAATAATTAGTTCTTGTACAAAAACTGCTGAATTTTGATTGGATGATATCAAATGCTTTTTTCACAAATTTCATTCCTTCTAACTGTCTCAGTAGTATTTACCAGATGGCAATTTCATATGATGTGGTATTTTTAGCAAATAAATTTGTAAATGGAAATTAGCAAACCATTAGTATCTATTAAATGTGGTAAAGACACGGTATCTTGGTCTTTTGTCAGTTAGTTGGGGAACATTGGTATTTTTCATATTACTACTGACATCACCTAATTCAATTTACCATAACTCTATCATTCAAAAACTTCAAAGCAATTATATTTTGCTTAAAATAGCCAGATAAAAACTGTTATTGGTGCATCTATGTAGGGTGAACATATTCCAGATAACTGCAGAAGAGATTTTATCTATAAAGATTATTTTGGAAAATACAGATTGAGAGGCAATATGAACAAAGATACATCAGAAGTTTGACAATAAAATATTCATTGATTTTTACTTTCATTCAACAGAAAAATATTTGGTGGATTATAGAAATTATTTATGTTTGTGGTATTTTCCCACAAAAAAAAACCGTACAAGTTATGATGTTGGAGTATACTCAAAACAAATATTTATACAAAAAAGATGCATATATAGACAAACCTTGCATGCCTTTTATTTTTATTTTGATATTCTTGCCACTGATTATCAAGGATAGTATCACACTCCCTTAGTCCACGGTCCAATATCTGGTACTTCTGTTGTAAGGACCGAAGCCTTTCTTGGTTAGCAGGGTCAAGGGTTTTAGATCTTAACAAGTGGATATACTTTGGATCTGTATTTCTCTGTTCTCTCATCTTACATTCCTCAATCATGCTGTATGAATCTAACAACAAAGATTTGGTATCTTCAATCTCCTTTGTTTGATCCTATGTAAAATAAAAATGAAATCGTCAGAAAGTCATCTAAATATAATAAATCAGTCACCAAAGTTTAATGAAAACTGCTCAAAGCACTTTAAGGAGATCATCCAAAAAATTGAATATCACCCCTTTTTTATGAATAAAATCCCATAACTCGGAAACATAAAATCTAAAATTCATAAAAATCAAATGGGAGCTTACAACAATATATATAAACAATTTACCAAAGTTTCATGAAAACTGCTGAAAGCACTTTTGAGTTATTGACCGAAAACTGGAAAATCCCCCTTTTTTTAATGAATAAAACCCCATAACTAGTAAATGTAAAATCTGAAATTTATAAAAATTGAAAGGGAGCTTATGTCAATAGATATAAACAATTCACCAAAGTTTCAGGAAAATTGCTCAAAGCATTTTTGAGTTATTGTCCGAAAACTGGAAAATCCCTCTTTTTGTAATGAATAAAACCCAAAAACTCGGAAATGTAAAATCTAAAATTTATAAAAAACGAAAGGGAGCTCAAGTCAATAGATATAAACAATTCACCAAATTTTCATTCAAATTGGATAAAGCGTTTTTGAGTTAATGTCCGACATGTTTAAAACGGACAGACGGACAACGGTATACCATAATACGTCCCGTAAACGGGCGTATAAAAATTAAAACATATTTGCAGCAACAGGTTTCTTAAACAGTATATAATTATTATTTTTCAATAATGTATTCATACCAGGAAACATCATTAGACATATTCACAATAATTCATATTTTAGCATTAATTTTCTACTCATGAAAGTTGGAAAATAAATTGCCAACGAAAATTAGTTGGTTTACAGTATATACAGATCATTGATTCTTTAAACAAACATGTACATTAACAAGTAATACATCAAATTTTCTTTAAAAGGTAGATAATATCTGTTTTCTGTAAATTAAGGGTGAATTTATGTACTACACTACTGTTATTTTCTTTGAAAATTTACTGTTAACACAGAGATATGTCTCACCTTTTTGTTATATTGTTGGTAAAATGCAAATTTTGAAATTAAAATAGCAATAATTTAACATGTTAGTTATGCAAAATATTCAAAATCAATGAACCATAACTGGAGGTACAGGGCCAAACAATCTCCATGAACATGAAATCTGCCAGTGCTAATACAACTGCATACCAAATATCATTGACCTACCACTAGTTGTTCCCCATAAACTGACCTAATAACAAACTAATACATATAAACTATGCAAAAGTTTCAAAGTTAATAGACCATGACAGATGGGGGCAGGGACAAACCATCTCCATGGAAATGAGATGTGCCAATGCTAATACAACTGCATACCACATATCATTGACCTACCACTAGTGGTTCCCCATAAACTGACCTAATCCCAAACTAATACATTGTTGACACTGCCACCGACGCTTGAAACAGCATACCTATGTCTCGCTTTTTAACTCGATCAAGGCGAGACAAAAAGCAGATAAATGATGTGTCAAATTTTAAAAACCTGATTCAATATGTAATCATTCACTGTAAGTAATGTTATAGCAAATTTGCTGCTGCTACTTTATGGAACAGCCTTCCAAACCATTTCAGGACTGAAAATAGTTTTTCACATTTTAAAAGTCTTGTTCAGTCCTGGAATGGTTTGGAATGTCGATGTTCTGCTTGCAGATAATTCTTGAGATGTTTATTATTTATGTTGCTTTTGTTTGCTCTGGTCTAGCATGTTTTATTTCATTTTAAATTTGTTGCTAAATTTTTATTGCATGCTATGTAAGTGAGATTTAACTTCGTATAACAGGTTGTTTTATATGTCAAATTAGACTGTTTTTATGTTATGTATATGTTTTTATATTCGGTCAAAAGCTCCTTAGAGCTTGTGTTGTGTCTTTTAACTTATGCCGAATCAAAATAAAGTTTTCTTATCTTATCTTATAGCTACAAAAGAATATGACTATTTTTTTTTTAAATGGCCATATTTACAAGGTAATTTGTAGCTAACATATATATACCTTTGTCAATTTTTTAACTTCTTCATTAAACTTTGTCATTTCTTCTGTCGTTTTCTTTAATTTCTCCATTTCTCTTATATCACCAACAGCAACTTTGTGAGATAAAGTCCTATTTCGAAACTGTTTTAGTTCTTCTTCAAAATGGGTCATCTTAAATATAATAATCAATACAATCTATTACTCATGCTTCAAAATGGGTCATCTTAAATACAATAATCAATAAAATCAAATACTCATGCATCAAGATAAATAAATGACAAAAAAAAATTAGTTCTAAAATAAATGGCATGAGGATTAATATTTCAAAGTATATAAGAAATTCATTTTTGCTGAACATAATAAAAAGAGATTTAACATGTATGACAAATATACTCAGAACTTTGGTGGATAGTTGTCTCATTGGCAATCATACCACATCTTCTTATTTTTATATCAATCCACAAAAACTGGCACCTAGTAAAATAAATAAATTCAAAGTATCTGACAATAAAACCTTACCTCTTCCATAATACTTTTTGTGTAGGTGCTGTCAACTGTCTCTTCTGAAAAATTATTAAGAAAAGTATGATCAGAAATAACAAAGACAAGGGGGGTCTTTAACGACCTTGACTACCCAGGAGGACTACCACGGTCGGTAGAAATAACATATGACACACTCCATTTTTAATTAATCTATGGCCAAATAAGTCATGTAAGTAAAAAGTAAAAACTTGACTTATCAATTGTTTAGTTCAGACAGGAACGCACAGATGTTTCTTGTTATTCCAACAGCAAGATAAACAGCTGTGCCAAGAGCTCATGATATGCCTTATTGTGCAGATTAAAATTGTTTCAAGAATAAAATGGGATATTTTGAAGGCATTTAATCATAATTTTGTTTACCAATTCTAACAATTACGTAAAGTTTCCAATGAATCAATCAAGGCAAACTCCGACAATTCAAGCCTCATAACTCTGGAGTGACATTTGGAAAATCAGGTTAATTAAAAGGTAGCTTCCTTTCATCAATCCCAACAATAAAGTAAAGTTTCTTTGAATACTGGAGTATTAAAGTGTGCTATTGGTGAAAAATTCCCTTAACAGTTAAACTGGAAAATTAAAAAAATCACAAGGGAGCTTGTTTTCATCAGTCCCCACAATAATGTAGAGTTTGGAGGAAATCAATTCAGGAATACCAGAGGTAGCAGGCGATTTATGAAATATTGCCTTAAATCTAAGGGTCAAGTTCCATAACTCTAGAATGACAAATCCACAAATATAAAACTAGATATGGATGATGCCCCCCTCTGCTCTGCCATATGCATGAGTATAGTTCCACATACTTTAGATTTGACAAACAGTGATGATGAAGTACAACTTGAAATTGTTGCGCTGTCTGTAAGACACAAATGATGCCCCCGCCTGACCATAAGAAATTATAAATTTAACACTATGTATGATGATCTATCTTTAATTTTTTTTTCTGAGTACAAAAAAAATAACATTTTGTCGCAGGGCATAAAAATTGGATAGGAAGCTTTCTGCGGTCAATTCTGATGTTGTGTTAAAGTTATATGAATTGGTGAAAGTGAATTTGAGTTATCGTAAGAAGTGTTGATGGACAGAGGGACAGACCGACAAATTGATGGACTGACATTGGTATACCATAATACTTCCCATCTTTGAAGGACATATAAAACACAAGATGTGGGAAAATAAATCCGGAATATTCAAAGGAAGCCTCTAACCCTCCAATATCAATTTTAATGGAACAGCCCTTACCTTCTTGTTGAGATTGTTGAGACTGAGATGAAGGTACTCGTGGTTGAGATTGTTGAGACTGAGATGAAGGTACTCGTGGTTGAACTGTTTTGTGTTTTGATTCTTCCGTTTTAACATTTGGTTGTGGCTGACTTTGTTGGGAACCTACAAATATTAAATCATTATACAATAAATAAAGATTGTATGTATTGGTGAAAAAACAATTTATTTTACTGTTTGATTCCAAAATGTAAAGACAAATATCATGACATAATTATTGCAAATACAGGATAAACCTATTTAATTTTCTTTACTACATCCGTAAAGGGCCTGTCTCATGCCAGCAGCCTTCAGTTCAGTGTATGGATTTTGTCTTCCTCTAATACTGTGGATTCATTTATATTTGTGAGTATCAATTTTTGTGCATTGAGGAAAAACTGTATTTTCGAGAATACTTGATTTCATGGTTTTGCCAAATTCCCTATACAATCCAATAGAAAGGTTGTATTTCCTTGAACAGTTAAATTGGTGGTCCATGTATACCAAATAAAATTGGTAGACCACGAATAATAAATCCCCAGTATTCAATTTTTGTCTCCCTTTATTTTTTTGCTTTTTTTTTCTTCTTGTCACAACCTATAGGTCTTGTGACCCTTTTAAGGGACCTTGGTAGCCAAGTGGTCTAACAAGTTCATCTACAGTGGTCACTAGCCAGTCAACACTAAGACTGCTCTCGGCAGTTGGGATCTCCATAATCTAGAATGACTAGGACTGCTAGTTTTTTCTGCCAAAGGTCATGGTCCTCTCCAGGTACTCTGGCTTCTCCCACTATAAAAAATGTCTGGCTTCAGACATTTTCTTTTGAGTCTTAAAAATTTATCGTGAACATCTGTGATATATTAATTTAGCGAACAAATAGCAATAAGGTGTATTATGATGATCAAACTTGAATACAGATACGAACCTTGCTTTGACACCTCAGGTTTCCCGGGACCTCCTGTGGGTTGTTTTGGTAGTAGCGTATTACCTGGTGTAACACCACCTAGTCCAGGTCCAAGTTTATATCCTGTCTCATTAGATGATGCTGGGGTGGAAAATGATTTACTGGCCACTGGGGTACTAAACAAAGGTGTTTGAACATTGCTGCTGGCAGGTGGTGCTGATGATGATACAGTTCCACCAGAGGGCTTAGCAAAGTTAAATGAAATTGGTGTAGAGGATGTAGAACTACTAGCTAGTGTTGAGGATGTAGAATTACTAGCTAGAGTTGCAGAAAAACTAAATCCACTTCCTGTTCCAGTAGGTGCTGCAGAGAAAATGGATGTAGGAGCTGCTGTAGGAGTTGTTTTTGGTGTACTTCCAAAAATTGATGTACCGCCAACTGATGTCCCAAATAGTCCCTGTTTTGTGGATGAGGATTCACTAGTTCCTGTACCAGAAGTTCCTAAGACAGACCCATTGCCAGCTGGCACACCAAACATACTTTGTTTTGTGGCTGATGGATTACTGGATGGTGTACTTCCAAAAATTGATGCACCACTAGCTTGTGTACCAAATATACTTGGTTTTGTGGATGTGGGTTCACTTGATGGTGTACCAAATGAACTTGGTTTAGTAGAGGAAGATTCACTTGTTGAAGTACTGGTAGGTTTAGCGCCAAAATTAAAACCTGATGAAAATGTAAAAGCACAAAAATAATGAATGTGAATTGACGAAAAGTTCTTAAAACATTTTTTTTCTTTATCAATTGATATTAAATATAATGATATTAGTATGTTACTGTTTTTCCCTATGTTGAGAAAATTACCAGTTAGCATTGATTTCAAAAAGCAATCTTTTATCTTTTTGACAATATGTAAAAGATTGCCATAAAAAAATCAAAGAAGTACATATATAATAGCTGAATATCATCTCAAAGAAAAAAGTAAGCTAAACAAGTTTTGTAAAATTAAAAGGACCCCATTGGAAAGAAGCGGAAATGCTTTTATGGGCAATCTTTAAAGGCTTTTTTGCATAATTTTAGCTAATATTTTTATGTTTCATATTTTAACCACACTAGTATACATAATGATAATATCATTACTAAAGGATTTTGACCTTTTACCTTTTACCTTATATAAAGATACTTTACATTTACATATTGAGGGTCATACCTGTTGACTGAGGTGTTGAAATACCAAACCCTGAACTAGATGTTGCTGCCGATTTGTCTTGAGATGCAGCTGGTGTCACTGTAGGTGGCGCCATAGTGGACGACGTGAAACTAAACGGTGATGCTGTACCTGTGGGTGCTGGTTTAGTTGATACAAACTGGAAACTTGGTCCTGCAGGCACTGATGGCTGTGTTTGCTGTATGCCTGCTGATGGTTGTGTTCCTGGAGCTACTGATGATGCTAGAGAAAAAAAAATATTAGTGATTTACTTAAGTCAAGATTATCAATATTTTACTAAAACATACTAAGGATTTATTTCAATTCTTCAGATAATAAATTGTCGAATTGGTGGGTATAAGTAAACTACATTCAGTTGTTAAAAAAAACTACAAATTTCCTAACTACTGGTATGCAGAATTTGTTATATCAGTAAATCCAGTATCCATTAAAATTTCTATTATACCTCAATCCATGAATAAATGAAATGCACAGTTTCCTTTTAATGTTACTTGTAAGCATCAACATTTAAGATACAAATAAATAGATTTGTAAACTAAATATCATTGCTACTTTAACTTTTCAAAAAAATTTTTTACTTAAGATTTTCTAGCTTCTTCTGTTCATTAGACAATGCTATATAATTATTTCAACTTAAAATTGAATTTTATATGTTGTGCGTAAACAATGTTTTAGTGACCTGGCTCGGCAGATGCTAGTTTTTTTTTAACTTTGAAATACCTAACAGCAATTACACAATTACATTAAAAAATATGCATGTTTTAAAATTGACTTCTTCTTTATGTGTAATCGCACTGTAAGATATAACAGGAGATTCTAATGATACTTAAATTTTATTTTGTCATTGGTATTTCAATAGGAAATTTACAAATCAGCAGATTTTAAACAGTGTAAATTCAAATTTTGTTAAATCTGGCCCAAACAATTTACAAATTTTCAGTAATGTGTACTAATATGTTTTCTTGCTCAATCAACAGACATATCTTTAAATATCCTGGTTCCATCAGCAGAACTAGCAACAGGTAATAATGTCATGATGTGTGTAGATTATTTCACATCCATTAGGTTTTCTGGCTCTATCAACAGACTTTTCTTAGGTTTTCTGTCTCTATCAACAGACATAGCTTAGGTTTCCTGACTCCATCAACAGACTTACCTTTAGGTTTCCTGGCTCCTTCAGCAGACAAAACAGCAGCTGCTGATGTCAATACTGGAGTTTCTGAATGTGTGTAAACCATATAGAAAGGAATTAAGATGCCTTCTGATGATAAGACAAGTAAAATTGGGCATGGTGGCAACGTTGTCTCTTCAGCTGAAATAAAAATATTTAATTTCAATTCATGAGTGTGCTAAAAAAAATCTTGTTTTAACACACTTTATGTTAAGTGTTTCCCTGTTTGCCAGTGATTTTTCACATTCTCTTTTGACATTATCTCACAGTTTACTGCATCTGTAATTTCTCATTCATTCAATTATTAGATTGTACAATAGATGTGAATTTGAATTTTAACATTATATCTAAAAAAAAAATTGGTTTTATTTGTAGGGTTTTTATTTCTTAACTTTTCTCTTCTTTTGGTAAAAAGGGGGAAGGGTGACTTGCTGTTAAATATACAAATCAGGAATAAAATAAATTGCATGGCTTGAAATCTTGAAATCCAATGGACAGATATATAAATATCGTTTCCATGGTTACATTTGAATTGCCTTTTTTGAGGAGTAGAATTTTACTTTTAAATTGAAAGATTGTTACATGAGCTGCTAAATAACTCAAAAAAAGGATGTGTGTGTGAGAGTATCATTGTACTTCATGATCACTTATAAAATAATTTGACTCACAAAGAGGAAGAGGCATCTGAGATGAGAAGTCAATAGCTACGCCCATTGTATAAGCTTCACAATGATCTGCTGTCATTGGAATCTCTGCCCTTGCTGAATCTTCTAGATTCCATCTCTCCATTATAGTCTGTAATAACAACGATATCCTTTGGATTGCAATGTAATTTACATCAATGACAAAGATATCCTTCAAATGACAATGTTAATTAACATCAATGACAAAGATAACCTTCAAACGACAATGTTAATTAACATCAATGACAAAGATATCCTTCAAATGGCAATGTTAATTAACATCAATGACAAAGATATCCTTCAAATGGCAATGTTAATTAACATCAATGACAAAGATAACCTTCAAATGACAATTTAATTTACATCAATGACAAAGATATCCTTCAAATGACAATTTAATTTACATCAATGAAGAAGATATCCATCAAATGACAATGTTAATTAACATCAATGACAAAGATATCCTTCAAATGACAATTTAATTTACATCAATGACAAAGATATCCTTCAAATAACAATTAAATTTACATCAATGACAAAGATATCCTTCACATGACAATTTAATTAACATCAATGACAAAGATATCCTTCAAATGACAATTTAATTAACATCAATGACAAAGATATCCTTCAAATGACAATTTAATTAACATCAATGACAAAGATATCCTTCAAATGACAATTTAATTTACATCAATGACAAAGATATCCTTCAAATGACAATTTAATTTACATCAATGACAAAGATATCTTTAGAATGACAATGTTAATTAACACCAATGACAAAGATATCCTTCAAATGACAATTTAATTAACATCAATGACAAAGATATCCTTCAAATGACAATTTAATTTACATCAATGACAAAGATATCCTTCAAATGACAATGTTAATTAACATCAATGACAAAGATAACCTTCAAATGACAATGTTAATTAACATCAATGACAAAGATATCCTTCAAATGGCAATGTTAATTTACATCAATGACAAAGATATCCTTCAAATGGCAATGTTAATTAACATCAATGACAAAGATAACCTTCAAATGACAATTTAATTTACATCAATGACAAATATATCCTTCAAATGACAATTTAATTTACATCAATGACAAAGATATCCTTCAAATGACAATGTTAATTAACATCAATGACAAAGATATCCTTCAAATGACAATTTAATTAACATCAATGACAAAGATATCCTTCAAATGACAATTTAATTTACATCAATGACAAAGATATCCTTCAAATGACAATTTAATTAACATCAATGACAAAGATATCCTTCAAATGACAATTTAATTTACATCAATGACAAAGATATCCTTCAAATGACAATGTCAATTAACATCAATGACAAAGATATCCTTCAAATGACAATTTAATTTTTATCAATGACAAAGATATCCTTCAAATGACAATGTTAATTAACATCAATGACAAAGATATCCTTCAAATGACAATATTTATTATCATTAATGACAAAGATATCCTTTAAATGATGGCAAATGAGGTTGGTCCTTAAAGGGGATCACACATTTTCTTTACCATCTAGAGGCTCTTAAGAGCTTAAATGGCTCACCAGGCTAAAATGTTAGTCAAGACCATAGCCATGGTGGTCATGTTGTTTGATTGGTAAAAAAAAAAACAACACTTATACTTAATACCCTAAAAGTTTGGCGTAATTTGGTCAAGTGGTTTCAGAGAAGAAATGCCCCTTTATTGAATTCTTCAGAACAACCACAATGGTTGTTTGGTGTTTGGGGTTACGGATACTTCAGATAAATCATTCTTAACAGATAATTGAATATAAAATTTGTCAGAGGTCTGATCAAAGTATTTGATTCCAACTGATAGACAAATGGTTTCAGGGAAAAACATTTTCTAAAAAGTTAATGACTATAGATTAATGCGGGTGCAAAGGTCACTTGATGACAATGGATCACATTAGCCCTTTGAGTCAAATAGTGAATAACTTGGCAGTATACCTTGTTATCAAAGTGTTTCCCCAACACAGCTATTTCTATTGCAGTACTTGATGTAGCAGTTATCATCTCCCTGCAAGTATAAACAATACAGAATTACAATACAGAGTATAAGCACGATAAAATAAAATAGGAACAAACCAAACTACTTATTATCAAAAGTGTTTAGACTTTGGCTGTTATCTCATTCCTATCAACCAAATAGTCTATTTGTTAAGAAAGTGTTTCCCTAACACAACTTTTGTTACATTCTTTTATTTAATACAGGTGCTTCATTTTCCATATTTCCATTTCCTGCACATAAAAACATAGATTTATTTTATTGATATTACTCCATGGCTCTTCAATTCACAGATGTGGCATTATCATCAGTTTGCAAAGAATTCCTCTCAAACCGGTGCTAGGGGCCATCCTAAAGTTGCAGTGAGGTGAGAATTTTTGCGCCATGCTGAAGGCTGCACGGTGACTTTGAGATGAAGAGCAACAATTAACAGTGCTGTTCCTTTGCTTTTTGTGTTTTTTGCTGTGCATGTACTAATGCTGTGTCATGGATGGATACCCCATATCCTTTCTATTATAGGACACCTATCACTTCTCATACTGTCATGGATGGATACCCCATATCCTGTCTTTTCTATTATAGGACACCTATCACCTCTCATACTGTCATGGATGGATACCCCATATCCTTTCTTTTCTATTATAGGACACCTATCACTTCTCATACTGTCATGGATGGATACCCCATATCCTGTCTTTTCTATTATATATAGGATACCTATCACTTCTCATACTGTCATGGATGGATACCCCATATCCTGTCTTTTCTATTATAGGACACCTATCACTTCTCATACTGTCATGGATGGATACCCCATATCCTGTCTTTTCTATTATAGGACACCTATCACTTCTCATACTGTCATGGATGGATACCCCATATCCTGTCTTTTCTATTATAGGACACCTACCACTTCTCATACTGTCATGAATGGATACCCCATATCCTGTCTTTTCTATTATAGGACACCTATCACTTCTCATACTGTCATGGATGGATACCCCATATCCTGTCTTTTCTATTATATATAGGATACCTATCACTTCTCATACTGTCATGGATGGATACCCCATATCCTGTCTTTTCTATTATATATAGGACACCTATCACTTCTCATACTGTCATGGATGGATACCCCATATCCTGTCTTTTCTATTATATATAGGACACCTATCACTTCTCATACTGTCATGGATGGATACCCCATATCCTGTCTTTTCTATTATAGGACACCTATCACTTCTCATACTGTCATGGATGGATACCCCATATCCTGTCTTTTCTATTATAGGACACCTATCACTTCTCATACTATCACTTTCCATAATCAGTCAACTATAAATCTGGTTAAAATTCTTATTGGGCATATGATCTTAAAATTTCACATCAAAATGAACATGTTTACTAACTTTCAAGTTGATGTGACAACAATTTTAAATTATCTGAACCAAAAAACTTAACCTGGTTTGCAGCATCACATTTTAATGTTCAGTGTACCACAATTTGCAATATATTTTAAAAGGTTCCTAGCATAATGGAAAAGTTTTCTCAGTTTCATGCTGATGTGACTACAATTTTAGGGTAAACTACTTGAACCAAAACCTTTAACCTGATTCAGGGCAGACGAATCAACGAATACACAGATTTGAAAACATAAAATGCCCCCCCTACTATTTTAGGTAGGGGTGTATACTATATAGAAGACATCTGTGTCACAAGTAACAACATATAAATTTTTCTATGAAGCAGATAACTTAGTTCATAGATTTCAGAATGACAAACATCTTAAGACTAATAGAGGGAAAAATGGCTGACCAAAGTGTACTTTTTTGGCCTGTCCTATGGTCCTGCAGGTTTATTGGAATGAAAAATCTAATGATGCCTAATTCTTTGAATGTCCAATGGTCCTGCAGGTTTCGTGGAACAAGATTTCTAATGAGGCCTGATTCTTTGAATGTCTGATGGTCCTGCAGGTTTTCGTGGAATGAGATTTCTAATGAGGCCTGATTCTTTGAATGTCCAATGGTCCTGCAGGTTTTCGTGCAAACAAGATTTCTAATCAGGCCTGATTCTTTGAATGTCCAATGGTCCTGCAGGTTTTCATGGAACAAGATTTCTAATGAGGCCTGATTTTTTGAATATCCAATGATCCTGCAGGTTTTCGTGGAATGAGACTTCTAATGATGACCCAATCTAAAAAACTTACCATGCAGGAATATAATGAAAGAAAAATTTCTTCAGTCTCTCTTCACCTCCACCATAACATGGATCTTCAAGTGAAGTGTACTTAGGTGGGGCTTCTTTCTAAAAGATACATCACAATACTTCCTTTAAAATCTGTCTTAAATGTACAATAAAAATTAAAATAGTTTAGGGGACTTTATCGATGTGTAAAGTATAAATTACAAAATTTTAAATGACTATCTAATAAAAATTAAACTGATAATAAATAGTTAATGCCTCTATAAGTAACTTTTTTTAAATGAATAAATAAATATCCCTTGGCTCTGAGCATCCATCAACCAGCTCTAAATTAAAATGATGATACTATCTTTAGTCAAAAGTATATTACAAGTTTACAACACAGAAGTCAGTTTCACAAAAACACTTACAAGTAAGATTGATTGTAAGTCATGAACAATTCAGTATACTTACGATCAATCTTAGTCATAAGTTTTTTTTTTGGAACCAACTCCAGGTATTTACTGATGTACATTCAATGATGCTTTAAATATTTAAATCCAACCTCCAATTTACTCATTATCTTGTTAAATGAAATAAAATGCTTCGCTGGGCGCAGCTTGATACGACCGCAGAGGTCCAACCCTGAACAGTTGGGGCAAGTATGGACACAACATTCAAGCTTGAAACAGCTCTGAATTTGGATTGTGATTAAATATTTGACACAGCATAGGTTTCTGACACAGAAAGAATGTGGTCTAAGAACTTCATTTTTTTTAATTTACCTATTATGGTCCAATGTCCAAAATCAAAATACATGGTTAGATTCAGCATATCAAAGAACCCCATATATTCAATTTTTGTTGAAATCAAAAAAAGTATAATTTTGGACCCCAACTTGGACAAACTTGAAAACTGGTCCCATAATCAAAAATCTAAACACATGTTTAGATTCAGCATATCAAAGTACCCCAAGAATTCAATTTTTGTTAAAATCAAACTAAGTTTAATTTTGGACCCTTTGGACCTTAATGTAGACCAATTAAAAAAAACGGGACCCAAAATTAAAAATCTAAAAACACGGTTAGATTTGGCATATCAAAGAACCCCAATAATTCAATTTTTGATGAAATCAAACAAAGTTTAATTTTGGACCCTTTTGACCTCGATATGAACCAATTTGATAGCGGGCCCACAAATAAAAAATCTAAATACATGGTAAGATTCAGCATATCAAAGAACCCCATATATTCAATTTTTGTTGAAATCAAACAAAGTTTAATTTTGGACCCCAATTTGGACCAACTTGAAAACTGGGCCAAAAATGTAAAATCGAAATACATGTTTAGATTCAGCATATCAAAGAACCCCATATATTCAATTTTTGTTGAAATCAAACAAAGTTTAATTTTGGACCCCAACTTGAAAACTGGGCCCATAATCAAAAATCTAAACACATGTTTAGATTCAGCATATCAGAGAACCCCAAAAATTCAATTTTTGTTAAAATCAGACTAAGTTTAATTTTGGACCCTTTGGATCTTAATGTAGACCAATTAAAAAAACGGGACCCAAAATTAAAAATCTAAATACACGGTTAGATTTGGCATATCAAAGAACCCCAATAATTAAATTTTTGATGAAATCAAACAAAGTTTAATTTTGGACCCTTTTGAACTCAATATGAACCAATTTGATAGCGGGCCCACAAATAAAAAATCTAAATACATGGTAAGATTCAGCATATCAAAGAACCCCATATATTCAATTTTTGTTGAAATCAAACAAAGTTTAATTTTGGACCCCAATTTGGACCAACTTGAAAACTGGGCCAAAAATCTAAAATCGAAATACATGTTTAGATTCAGCATATCAAAGAACCCCATATATTCATTTTTTGTTGAAATCAAACAAAGTTTAAATTTGGACCCCAACTTGGACCAACTTGAAAACTGGGCCCATAATCAATAAAATGCTTCGCTGGGGCGCAGCTTGATACGACCGCAGAGGTCGAACCCTGAACAGTTGGGGCTAGTATGGACACAACATTCAAGCTTGATACAGCTCTGAATTTGGATTGTTATTAAATATTTGACACAGCATAGGTTTCTGACACAGAAAGAATGTGGTCTAAGAACTTGAATTTTTTTAATATACCTATTATGGTCCAATGTCTAAAATCAAAATACATGGTTAGATTCAGCATATCAAAGAACCCCACATTTTCAATTTTTGTTCAAATCAAACAAAGTGTAATTTTGGACCCCAACTTGGACAAACTTGAAAACTGGGCCCATAATCAAAAATCTAAACACATGTTTAGATTCAGCATATCAAAGAACCCCAAGAATTCAATCTTTGCTAAAATCAAACTAAGTTTAATTTTGGACCCTTTGGACCTTAATGTAGACCAATTTAAAAAACGGGACTTAAAATTAAAAATCTAAATACACGGTTAGATTTGGAATATCAAAGAACCCCAATAATTCAATTTTTGATGAAATCAAACAAAGTTTAATTTTGGACCCTTTTGACCTCAATATGAACCAATTTGATAGCGGGGCCCACAAATAAAAAATCTAAATTCATGGTTAGATTCAGCATATCAAAGAACCCCATATATTCAATTTTTGTTGAAATAAAAAAAAGTTTAATTTTGGACCCCAACTTGGACCAACTTGAAAACTGGGCCCATAATCAAAAATCTAAACACATGTTTAGATTCAGAATATCAAAGAACCCCAAGAATTCATTTTTTGTTAAAATCAAACTAAGTTTAATTTTGGACCCTTTGGACCTCAATGAAGACCAATTTAAAAAACGGGACCCAAATTAAACATCTAAAAACACGGTTAGATTTGGCATATCAAAGAACCCCAATAATTCAATTTTTGATGAAATCAAACAAAGTTTAATTTTGGACCCTTTTGACCTCAATATGAACCAATTTGATAGCGGGGCCCACAAATAAAAAATCTAAATACATGGTTAGATTCAGCATATCAAAGAACCTCATATATTCAATTTTTGTTGAAATCAAACAAAGTTTAATTTTGGACCCCAATTTGGACCCCAATTTGGACCAACTTGAAAACTGGGCCCATAATCAAAAATCTAAATAAATGTTTAGATTCAGCATATCAAAGAACCCCATATATTCAATTTTTGTTGAAATCAAACAAAGTTTAAATACTGGACCCTATCTTGGACCAACTTGAAAACTGGGCCCATAATCAAAAATCTAAACACATGTTTAGAATCAGCATATCAAAGAACCCCAAGAATTCAATTTTTGTTAAAATCAAACTTAGTTTAATTTTGGACCCTTTGGACCATAATGTAGACCAATTTAAAAAACAGGACCCAAAATTAAAAATCTAAATACACGGTTAGATTTGGAATATCAAAGAACCCCAATAATTCAATTTTAGATGAAATCAAACAAAGTTTAATTTTGGACCCTTTTGACCTCAATATGAACCAATTTGATAACGGGGTCCACAAATAAAAAATCTAAATACATGGTTAGATTCAGCATATCAAAGAACCCCATATATTAAATTTTTGTTGAAATCAAACAAAGTTTAATTTTGGACCCCAATTTGGACCAACTTGAAAACTGGGCCAAAAATCAAAAATCTAAATACATGTTAAGATTCAGCATATCAAAGAACCTCATATATTCAATTTTTGCTAAAATCAAACAAAGTTTAATTTTGGACCCTTTGGACCTTAATGTAGACCAATTTGAAAACTGGACCCAAAATTAAAAATCTAAATACACTGTTAGATTCGGCATAACAAATAAATAAATGTGATCAAAGATTTTACAAATCTAATGCGCCATACTGTGCAATTAAAGATTACTTCTTGAAATTTTTCAATATTTGAAATTTGAAAAAAAAAAAATATTTGAAGAATAATTCTTTTTAATTTCTGAAATCTGAAATGAGAAAAAATTGACCCCCCACAATTTCTTTTTATCCCCCCCCCCTTTTTTCCCCAAAAAAATTCTTTCCCTCAAGATATGGTCATAATCTCAATTCAAATTTCCAATGGAGTTGGCAACCATAATTACCCATTTAAATTTACCATAGTGCTAACTTAATCTATTTTATAATAGAATTAAAAATAGTGTCAAATTTTTCATATGGATTTTTTTGTAAAAAAAAAACATGCAACATTTGCAGATATTTTTACTGGTCTTCCTTTATAAATATGCATTTCTTTAAACATAATTTAAAAGCAGTGTAAGGGAAGTAACCAAAACGTTGTATTTGGATTACCTCCCTTACACTGTTTTAAATTATCTTTATTGTTCATTAACCATTACTTTATACATAATTTAAAAGCAGTGTAAGGGAGATAATTTCAATGATGTATTTGATTTATCTCCCTTACACTGCTTTAAATTATGTTTTGTACTAAAGTATTTGTCCATTAATGAGGACAACCTTGTTTTTCCCCCTTTTTTGCCCCTAATTCTTAAACGGTTTGAGCAATAACCCCCCAAAGCAAATCCTAACCATCCCTTTGTGGTATGGAAACTTGTAGTATAATTTCAGAGAGATCCATACACCGTTCCACAGTTATTGTCTGGAATCTAGAAAATGCTTATTTTTGGCCCCTTTTTGTCCCCTAATTCCTTAACTGTTGGTACCATAACCCCCAAAATCAATCCCCACCTTCCTTTTGTGGTATTGAACCTTATGGTAAAATTTCATAGAGATCCATTCACTTAAACTAAAGTTAGAGTGCGAAAACTAATGCGTATTCGGACGACGACGCCGGACGACGACGACGACGACGACGCTAACGTTATACCAATATACGACCACAAAATTTTTTTTGCGGTCGTATAAAAATTAAAGGTTTCTCAGAACCTTTTGTTGAATCACGTCACTCTTATAATTAAAAAATCCTAAACTTAATCAAATTAGTTTAGGATATATTTAGATAGGTTTAATAGACTAAGTTTATTGGGTTACAAGATCATCCTCTGCATAAAAAAGAATCCAAGTCATTCAATTTGCATTTAATTCAAATCATGCCAAAGAAGTGCTTTCATTTGTTTAGTATCAGTTTGGTGGTAGGTTTTCCATAGTTTGAGATTAACCAAATAAAATCATATTCTTTTCAAATAAAATAATTCAGATTTTAAAGGAGACCTCTGAACATATATATACATGTATATATGGCATATTTAGTGTATGGGGGTGGGGTACTTTTGCGTGATTTCCTTTCTGGCTGGCTGGAAGGTTTTGAAAATTTGACTGAAGGCACAACAAATAAACAAGAGTGCACACGCTGAAATGTCTCACCTGTTTTACTGACCATTGATTTTATGCTGAAAGTCTAAAAAATATAGGTTTTACAACAAGTATCACATAAACTTAACATTTTTGACGATTCATTACAACGAGCTTGAGGTTATTCCATACACCAAATATAGTTAACTATTGCTATTAGTATTTGAAAAACAGACCAAAACACATAAAAACTTAACATAGACCAATGAACCATGAAAATGAGGCCAAGGTCAGATTATACCTGCCAGACAGACATGTTCACCTTACATTCATTCCATACACCAAATATAGTTGACCTATTGCTTATAGTACTCGAAAAACAAACCAAAAAACAAAAACTTAACATTGACCAATGAACCATGAAAATGAGGTCAAGGTCAGACGAAACCTGCCAGACTGTACCCTTTACAATAATTCCATACAACAAATATAGTTGACCTACTGCTTATAGTATCTGAGAAACGGACCTAATCATGAAACATTAACCTTGATCAATGATCCATAAAATAAGGTCAAGGCCAGGTGAACTCTGTCTGACAGACATGTAGATGTTGCAAAGAACCCATATACCAAATAGAGTTATTCTATTACTCATAATAAGTGAGAAATACACATGTCAAAAAAGCTATAATTTTTTTTCAAGCAGTTACTGAACCATGAAAATGAGGTCAAGGACAATGGACATATAACAGACAGAAACTTTGTAACATAAGGTATCTGCATACAAATTATGAAGCATTTAGGTCTTCCACCTTCTGAAATATAAAACTTTATACAAATAGTTTACATCGCTGCCGCCGCTGTCACCAAATAGTAATCCATATGTCATGTATGTCTAGCATACTGTGATGAAAGTTGCAGGCAAGACAAAAACAGAAATGGCCTTATATACCAGAACAACAATTTGTTATTGGAGAGTTTTTATTGGTGGAGCAAGCTGGAGTCCTTGTACAGAGAACCACTGACCTTCTGCAGGAAAACAGACAATCCAAGTCAATTATAAAGATTGGAGTCAAAAGCACCTGCTACAAGCCTAACAGCCTAAGTGTTGACATGCTATTGACAATCCTAGTCAATTAAGATTGGAGTCAAAAGCACCTGCTACAAGCCTAACAGCCTGAAAATGGGGACAAGGTCAGATGAAACCTACCAGACTGACATGTACACCTTATAATCATTCCATACACCAAATTTAGTAGCTACCATACTTATAGTATTTTCAAGCAGTCGCTGAACCATTAAAATGAGGTCAAGGCCAATGGACATATGACGGATAGAAACTTCCTAAAATGAGGCTTCTGCATACAAGGTATGAATCATTAAGGTCTTCTGCCTTCTGAAATATAAAGCTTTATACAAATAGTTTACGCTATCAGCGCCACCGCTGGATAGTAATACCTATGTATTGCATTTTGTTACTTTCTTCACAGGCGAGACAATAAAAAATTTTAATGTAATATGCACTACTTTTTAAATATTCTGTCAGTTATCACCCTTCAGCTTTATAGGAAAGGGAAGTAACTCATATATAGTTATACTTACACTTCCAGTGATTAGGACAACTGTTGGTTGATCACTGGCATCAGCATTATCAGCGATGTAGGCCACCATAAAACTAAAAGTTGACAGCCAAATTATACCAACCACTGTAAAACACAATAACATTGTTCATGTTTACAGCATAACTATATAAAAGAAAAATACAGCAAAGTTTTCTTGTTGCTAGGTGACACATTAAATCATTTTTACCATTTTTGCGACCTACTGAAATAATAACATTTGTTAACATAATTTATTATATACTTAGTTGTCACCTAAATAAATATTTTGTTGAGAAAAACTGTTAATAAAGTTCAACAGCTGAATAGGTCACCATAGTCCTAGTCAACAAAACAAAGTTAAATAAACTCTTTGTATTAATTTTCTGTACATTTGTCATTTAATTAACATTTTACCTCTTTGTGGCCCAGATAATATGTTTGGACACGTCCATTCCTTCTTTTTCACTAAAGCTTGATCATATTGTGCTAAAAGTCCATCATGCTGTCCTACAACTAACTGTTTTCCTTTTGGACTCCAGCATACTGTAATATGAAGAAAATTATTATGGTAACTCAAATGTTAGGTACTGATTTAAGTGCAAGAAATTTAATTTTTTTCAAGACCTTGAATGGTTTGAATGGTTTTACACTAGTAATTTTTTGGGGCCCTTTATAGCTTACTTTTCCGTGTGAGCCAAGGCTCAGTGTTGAAGACCGTACTGTGACCTATAATGGTTTACTTTTGTAAATTTTGACTTGGATGGAGAGTTGTCTCATTGGCACTCATACCACATCTTCTTATATCTACTTGAGATAAAAAGTTCTGTAAGTCAAAATACATAATACAGCATGAAAATCAAAAAGGTCTTAAACAGAAATGATAAAAACTTTAAGACGACTTCTGCCTTTTTAAGCTACCTTCATTTATGTATAGTTCAACAATTACAAATAATGATAATTTATAGTGACAATCATCACAGTACAGTTAAGTTTTCAATTGTTTATCATATAACAAGGTTTTATTAAGTTTAGGAATTATTATGAATTCTGGACTATTTGACCATGTTGACCCTGACAATTTTTTTATAACTTTTTTTTTTTTTTAATTTGTGCCACTTCACATTTGTGAAACAATTACTCTGAATGCTGTTTATAGCATAGAAAATTACTCTGAATTCTGTTTATAGCACAGAAAATTAATCTGAATTCTGTTTATAGCACAGAAAATTACTCTGAATGCTGTTTATAGCACAGAAAATGACTCTGAATTCTGTTTATAGCACAGAAAATTACTCTGAATGCTGTTTATAGCACAGAAAATTACTCTGAATGCTGTTTATAGCACAGAAAATGACTCTGAATTCTGTTTATAGCACAGAAAATTATTCTGAATTCTATTTATAGCACAGAAAATGACAGGAATTTCTATTCACCACACTGGATTTTACATAAACAAAAATGTCAGGTGAAAAAAAAAAAAATCCATAAGTCAAAATAATTCCAAGTTCAATTAATATTTTGTTACTTGTAATTGTATACACTTATGTGTATGCAATTGCTCATGTTGTTTCACATAGTTTTGATTATCCTAAAATTATTTTTCACATTTTGGACAACTGAACAAAAATAATGTCTGTTTCATTGACTTTTCATCAGATGTTTTAAAGAGATAAAAGGTATGATTTATATTTGCTTTAATTTTTTAACAATCACTAATTTCAACAGGCAAAATAGAAGAAATGCATCCTGGGAAAATGATATTTATGACAATCATATACCAAAGTGCTGATGCAACTGTGTGCTTTGATACTGTTTGGCTTTGAAACATTCTCTCCATATTCTTATAAGAAATAAAGATTGATTGTCAGTTAAATTCGTAGTTTTGTTTGAACAAAAAAATGCTGATAAATAACAATACAGTGTTGTTTTAATCTTACCACATGTTGCCTTTGCCTGGGCAGGTACAGTTGCCTTAATATTAAGATTGTCTCCAGCTTCAAATATAGACACACTGCCATCTTCCATTACACATACAAGCATTGTAGGATTTTCTGGATTCCATGCTAAATCTGCCAGACCACAATTCAATCTTATCCTCAAAAATGGAGGAGCCTGATCACCCTGTAACAAGAAAAATATAGATTTCAGATAAATAGTTGCCAGACCACAATTCAATATGAAAAGATCTGAAAAAAAGGATATTTTTTTTCTGTCAGACCATCATATAGTATTAAAAATATTGATTTAAACAATATGTGTAGGATCACAATTCTTACTGATCCTCAAAAATAATAAAAATTCACCCATAACATGCATAATAAAACTTCCTTTATCTGATGTAATAGTGATTGTTAATTATAAATTCAGTGTTTCTTTTTTTTATTCCTGTATTTTCTTTTTAAAGAAGGGGCAGATTCAGTAAATTGTGACAGTTACTATACACCTGCCAATCTTTTTTCATTGTTGAAAAAAAGACATTCATTTAAAATATTGCAACAAATAACAAATAGATGCCTTCAAACAAAAATCTGATTTTTTGTTCCTTTTACTGCCAGATTCTGGGCCAAATACCACTCCGATCAAACACCCATGACTTCTTTCTATTGTGAAGTAACATTTAAAAGCATGGTCCATGGATTTTTCTTTAATTGGTCCATGTAGTGTATATGTGAAATGACCATAGTGAAGTAACATTTAAAAGCATGGTCCATGGATTTTTCTTAAATTGGTCTATGTAAACCATGTAGTGTATATGTGAAATGACCATTAGAGAGAATATAATTTCACAGTTCTCAGAATCTTTTTCTCACTAGTGGTCCTGGGAGAAAATCTGCTGGTCCTCGTTATTATTTCTATTGCAAAATACCATGAATACCATAATTTTGTCTGTCCTTTGGAAAATTTTGGAGATCAGGACCTTCCGATCACAACTTTTTGAGAACTCTGTTAATAAATAAATTTGAAATCAAATCTAATTTACTAGAAATATACTGAAAAAGAAAAGGTCAATCATTTTAAAAACCAGAGCATGATTGTATAGCATTTACAAAACAAAATAAAAATCTATAATTTTGTTCATGGGAAAAGGATACTGGGGAACCAAATAGAATATTTTGAGATTCAATTTAATGATATAATAACTAACGGTTAAACAAGAATACATCAGGTCCATGAAAAAAATCAGGTACTGGCTCTCTTTGGAGAAATCCTTCTCTTTAATCAAACCTATCAATTTGAAAAATTTCTATAATAATTTACCTGACTGACAAAACTTCTAGTATCATATATGTAGACTTGTGACAAATCTGCACTTTCTACAACAACAGCCAAACTAAGACTATCACAACTAAGTGCCAACAATGATGGAGGGGCAGATAACTCTATTGATGCCAGGCAAGGATATTCTTTCACAATTATTTTTGTTCTGTCTTTAGCATGTTCTCTATCTATTCTACTCAGTTCAGATGTCTGTATCACTTTAAATCCTATAAACATGATAGATAGAACATAGAGCTATGTTAATGTTAAAAGTCATTCTTTAACTTTACTTAATGATCTTCAAAAATACAACTTTCACAACATTTTACTTCAAAAAATAGAAAATAAGACTGCATTGTAATAGATTTTAGCCTTTCATTGGTGAATTACTATAATCATGTTCATGAATTGCATTTACCTTCTCTAACAGGTCTTCTAAAATATGTCGGGCATTGAAACCTAATCTGCTAATCTTTCCCAAACAATATTCATACCTTTACTTGTCCCAACAAAAATTACTCCATATTTTGAGGAAGCTGCAACTAACTGAGGACTCTTTCCCTCTACTGGTGAATTGCCATCATCTATCTGAAATCTGCATAGCTGCTGATATCTGAAATCCTGAAACAAATTAATGGTCTATTAATGTGTGAACTGTTTTCCATTTATCTGAAGTCTATATAACTCACCATTGTAGCTAAATTCCTGAGAGATTTTAATATACTTATACATTCATATATTTTATTATAAACAAAAGTGAACCAACGCCTGGTAAATCTGTGGTACGATAGAATCCCTAAAGTGGATACCTCGGGTATGCAGGGTCGTTACGATAAAAACATAAAATGTAGAAAGTCTTATAAAGACAACACTTTAGTGATTGCTGCAGTAAATTTATTCATCGACATGTTTCGGTCTGAGGATAAAAACAATACAGAAAATTGCGCCTGAAGTACAAAATCAGGAAGGTATAAATTACGTCACAATGTAACCATGGTGAGTATAAATAGAAAGTGAAAGTATACATGTATGAAAGTAAACTTGAACAAGAAAGTTGAATAAAATATGAATATCATTGAAATTAAAATGTTTGTCGATATTATCCTGCCAAAGTCTGTTACTTGCTAATAAAAAAGGAATGAATATGTGATTGTCATCTTGCATAATGGAACTGAAATATATAATAAGTTATTGTCCGACTGTGTTCAGTTTGTGTTTTACCCAAATTTGAACGGCACTTGACTTGCAATTCCGTACCATTTCGACTGGCTTCACCTGGGCAGAAGTACTTTACTTCCAATCGCGTCGGGAATGCTGTGAAGTGTATGGCCGCTGCTGGTTTGGAAAATGTTTATTTCACAAGTTATAATAAATTGATGAATTTTAATTGCACAACAGTTCATTTCAAATTAAATCAGGAATGGTGTCACCAGTACTGGTTGTTGCATATTTCATTCAGAATATTTAGGGATCACACTTCTTTGTTTCACATCGATAGGAACCGAAACATGTCGATTAATAAATTTACTGCAGCAATCACTAAAGTGTTGTCATTATAAGACTTTCTACATTAACATATTTTGTATAATTATCATGATTATTAGCAAAATTATCAATGTGTGAGAAAATTAAAGAAAATATTAAATACTTTTTCACCAGAAATAATTCTTGTAATTTTTTTTACAATAAAAGTTTATTATATAGATCTGCTGTAAATGGGATATCTAAAAGTATTCTAAAGGTTTGCTGACTTCATCCCCTTTCACAGGTTACACCTGCCTCATATTGTGGGGAGGAAGTCACCAATAACAGTAATAAATGAAATTGAGAATGGAAATGGGGAATATGTCAAAGAGACAACAACCTGACCAAAGAGCAGGTAAGTAAATCAATACAACGAAAAACGAATATATTATAAAAATCAATAAACTAATGAAATCAAAGTCATTGACTTTTTTCTAACAGTTGAGTTTGAGTATTACCCTGTTCCTGTTCTGTTGACAGACCCTGTCATGTTGTAAGTCATACGATTTTCCCATATTAGTATAACTGATTACCATAAAATGAGGTCGAACATTTTGAATTTATTCTGTTTATGTACATAATAAAATGAGTCTAAAGCTTATTCAACATACAATTTTATAGCAAACATAAAATTCTCTGCTGGGCGCAGCTTGATATGACCGCAGAGATCAAACCCTGAACAGTTGGGGCAAGTATGGACACAACATTCAAGCTTGATACAGCACTGAATTTGGATTGTGGTTAAATATTTGACACAGCATAGGTTTCTGACACAGAATGAATGTGGTCTAAGAACTTAAAAATTTTTAATTTACCTATTCAAACCATATATCATTATTATTTGCTTTTATATATAAATCAGAAATAGCCAATTTAAAATGGAAAATTTTAAAGAAAAATAAAGGAAAAAATAATCCCTCCCCCAAATTTTTTGAACCCCCTTATGATTCATCACCCCCAAACTCAATCCCAGCCTTCCTTTTGTGGTATGGTACCATGCAGTACAATTTCAGAGTGATCCATACACTTGAACACAAGTTATTGTCTGGAAACAAGAATAAACTGCTTCGCTGAGCGCAGCTGGATACGCCCGCAGAGGTCCAACCCTGAACAGTTGGGGCAAAAATGGACACAATATTCAAGCTTGATACAGGCCAGAATTTGGATTGTAATTAAATATTTGACATATTATAGGTTTCTGAATAAATGTAGTCAAAGAACTTGAAATTGGTTATATGAAATAAATTTATATTCAATTAAAGATTTCTTGCTGTTGTACAATACACTGTGTTGTTGTGCAATACACTGTGCTGTTGCGCAATACTTAGTTAATCTGTTGTCAGACTATAAACAAATAAAATATTATAACTCGGAAATGTAAAATCGAAAATTTATAAAAATCAAAAGGGAGCTTACATCAATAGATATAAACAATTTACGAAAGTTTCTAAAAAATGCTTTCAGCATTTTTGAGTTATTGTCCGAAAACTGGAAAATCCCCTTTTTGTAATGAAAAAAAAACCCATAAATCAGAAATGTAAAGTCTAAAATTTATAAAAATCAAAAGGGAGCTCATGTCGATAGAAACAAACAATTCACCAAAGTTTCTTGCAAATTGGTGAAATTGTTTTTGAGTTAACATTATTGTCCGAAAACTGGAAAATCCCCCCTTTTTTAATGAATAAAACCCCAAAACTCGGAAACCGTAAATCTGAAATTTATAAAAAACGAAAGGGAGCTCATGTCAATAGATATAAACAATTCACAAAAGTTTCATGCAAATTGGTGAAATTGTTTTCGAGTTATTGTCCGAAAACTGGAAAATCCCCCCTTTTTTAATGAATAAAACCCCAAAACTCAGAAACGGTAAATCCAAAATTTATAAAAAACGAAAGGGAGCTCACATCAATAGATATAAACAATTTACCCAAGTTTCATGCATATTGGTTAAAGCGTTTTTGAATTAATGTCCGACATGTTGACGACGGACGGACGGACAGACGGACGGACAACGGTATACCATAATACGTCCCGTAAACGGTATAAAAATGCTTGTTTTAAGGCCCCTTTTTGGCCCCAAATTCCTAAACGTTTAGGGCTATTACCCCCATACTCAAACCCAGCTTTCTCTTTGTGATATGGAACCTTGTAGTACAATTTCATAGAGATCCATACACTTACACACAAGTTATTGTCCTGAAACTAGAAAAATGCTTGTTTGTTGCCCCTTTTTGGCCCCTAATTCCTAAAATTTTGAGGCAAATACCCCCAAAATCAATCCCAGCCTTCCCTTTGTGGTATGGTACCTTGTAGTACAATTTCAGAGAGATCCATACACTTGAACACAAGTTATTGTCTGGAAACTAGAAAAATGCTTTTTTTTTGCCCCTTTTTGGCCCCTTATTCCTAAACGTTTTAGGCAATTACCCCCAAACTGAATTCCAGCTTTCCCTTTGTGATATGGAACCTTGTAGTACAATTTCAGAAAGATCCATACACTTACACACAAGGTGTTGTCATGAAACTAGAAAAATGCTAGTTTTTTGCCCCTTTTTTAGCCCCTAATTCCTAAAATTTTGAGATGATTACCCCCAAAAATCAATCCCAGCATTCCCTTTGTGATATGGAACCTTGTGGTACAATGTCAGAGAGATCCATACACTAACACACAAGTTATGTCTGGAAGTTACAAAAATGCTTATTTTTGGCCCCTTTTTGGCCCCTAATTCCTTAACTGTTGGTACTATAAACCCCCAAATCAATCCCAACCTTCCTTTTGTGGTATTGAACATTATGGTAAAATTTCATAGAGATCCATTCTCTTAAACTAAAGTTAGAGTGCAAAAACCAATGTGTCTTGGGACGACGACGTCAACGTCATACCAATATACGACCACAAAATTTCAAGGCCAAGGTCAATTGTCGTAAACAACGTTATTGAACAATCGGTTCTTACTGTGCATAATAACATAAGCATTGTGACGTAGGAAATTTATGATAAATGCATGAATTCGAAAGTCATCTATGGGATATCCTTAAAGATTCTAAAGGTTTGCTGGCTTAGTCTCCTTTCACAAGTAAAACCTGCCTCATATTATTTTTTTTGCTTCAGATGTCTTAACTTGTAAAATGTAAAAAAATTGATGGCTTTAGTAAAAAGATTAAAAATCATTTCACTGTAGGCCTATAACAGGGACTGCGGAGGGTGTTGCCAATGTCGCAATTTGCGATTTTTTTTTCAACTGGCGACAAAATATGGCTCCTGCCGATATTTCAGGCACCAACATTTTCCCATGTCAAAAACTGTATTTCTTAATTGTAACGGTAATAAAATCGACATCAGGGCAATTACATGTAAAGGTAAATAAGGTAAGGTCTGGTAGCACGTGCCAATAACCTTCTACACAGGTAAACACATTAACAAAGCGTGAATGTGTGAAATCATAATCATGGTAATTACCAATGATTGTTAATAAAAGGTGATGATTAGATGGTTACTTTAAAGTAATGAGCACTGATTAACAGGAATTTGTAAATCAATAAACATAATAAATGTTAATTAAACATTGTGGTACATTCTTTGTAAGCCGACCCTTTATAACTGCAAACTCTATCCTCAATGATTGAAAGTTCTTTTCCCTAACTCGAACCGGAAGAAAAAAGTCACAACCTTGGAGCAAATATTATCCACTGTGAATGTAAATATTCTTTACTTATTTGCAAACAGTCTGATACACTTTATTGTTGAATAGCTATAGAAACATGGTCAATCTGTCTGTTTCATATTGTGACCCGATTCCGTAAAATATTAGTAGACATGCTTGTAATTTCGTGACCTTTGTGAGTTTGTCTTAGACGGTGGCTTTTGCGCATGTGCAATAATATATAGGTCAAGGATATTGTATTATGTATTTGAACATAAAGAATAAATTTGAGATCAAATAACAAATGAATATCTCAATAAAAAGAGGAATTACCGGTAGATCATACTAACTTTTTTATTCTCCCTACAACAATTATTCTAATTTTTACACATGACTTTCAACATGTTCAATGGTCAATTGGAAAGTCCAGAATTAACACTTTAAACACGTTTAAGATAACCGTAACGATGTCACAATGTCATTAATGCATCAAAGTATTTTTTCATTCAATTTGCATTCAATGGCACAGGATTAAATCACTTTTAAGAGCTAATAATCAGCATGTTTTGTTTTATCAAAATACATCAAATCATTTTCTGATCTTAAAAAATCCGCTCACATACATGTACTCTTGTAAAAATAATACTCTTGGCCTCAAAAAACAATGAAAAAGGAAAATGAGTGCACATAACCTTAAAATAGATGATTCATTGTTGAGATGTCAATAACATTGCTGAAAGGATTTTCCAAAGAATTCAATGAAATTCTAGGAGAAGATTAAAACAGTTATCATGGTTATAGTGAAAATAGATGTTTAAACAAATAATATGCAAGACATACACAACTTCTCTTTTTAAAGCCGATATTAGTTAACATGCAATGAAAAATATCCATTAAGTTTTTTTGAAGTAGCACGTTGCCGATGATAAATAGTTATGCATGACGTCATAAAGTGGAAATCCCCAAATGTCACGAACTTACAAGCATAACGAACTTGCAATCATCAACGATATACCAAGCTGAGTAAATTGTATCAACAACTCAATTTTTTTCAAAACTGGCGACAAAATATAGCAGCTGGCGATTTTTCTGGCTCCAACGTTTTGGAGCCAGAGGCAGAGCAGCCATGCTATAATTTTATTTTGCAAAAATTAGTATTAAACATGTTATAGTTATTCATACGACTTTGTAACACCTGTCTCATTTTACACATAACAAGCAAAATTGTAGTACCTTCACGTCTCTTTCCGGAGGAAGTTCGCCAGCTGTTGCCATAATGAAAATCTACACTTTCGTTTTAAATCCTATTGCAAAATTTTATAAATATCCCATTGCAAATTTTGTTCAGTGTTAAATTCAATCTTGATAATCCTATTATTTCAATTATTTCGCAAGTTATCGAAAACGTATAAAAGATTTCGATTTAATTCCGTCAACGTTTTCATTCATTTCGAGGTAAAATCTGGAGGATAATCGAATAACGTTGTCAGGAAAAATTAACTCATGCGCACCAAACACTTCCATTAAATTCCTATACTATTCGGTACAAAAAAAATTAGAACGGAAGGTAAACAAGGTAAATCATTCCTTTATTATCGATAGATTATCGCAGTTAATTGTACTGCAATATCAATGACTTCATTTATGAATACTCTGTTGAAATTTCTCCATTTCCACCAGAAGTTAGAACAAAAAAAAAACAGTCCATACCGTATCATACAGATAAATAATTTGTTTTGGCAAAATTGGGATTCTTTCCAGCATATAATACCCTGGTACATAATATCCTCAACTAACCCCTTGTGCAGTAGACATCGCTATTTGGATATCTGCGACACTTGACCTGGGAACCTGCAACACTTGAACTATTGACGTCGTACACGTCAGGGCACACGCTAGCAGGCGACTGGGGCGAAAAAGTCGCTTTCCCGTCCGTCAGTTCGCTTTGGCTGACCGTCAAAAGCATTATCTAGTCGCCCTGGTGTTCACAATAGTCGCTTGCAGTCGCTTTCGTCATCGGCAATTTCCCCTTTTTAACAAGTCAATGAAACAGCATATTTTTCATTTAAAAGCGAAGAAATTCAGACATAAACGATTTATTTCTCCAGATTGGTTGTATGTTATTTCAGAGAAACAACTTTTATGAATCATTTTCTTTCACTTCCGGTATCTGTTACTCGAGATCGTATATATCAAAACATTCTGATTTTCAGAAAAATAAGTTTGTTACTTCGATAGAAAGTAATCAAATCTGCCTTTAGTTAATGCTTGATCCATTCATTGCATTAAAAGCGTCATATTCCTTTCCGAATCGCTTGTCAAACATTGTTTATTTTCGTAAATTTTCTTCGTCCGCCATTGAAATATTTGTACAAACCACAGATCGGAAGCGGACCAGCTATAACCGAAATCCGTATTCTTACTATAATAACTACAGACGCCTGAATTGAACAGCTGACAAAAGAATAATGACCTCAAAAGTGAAAATTACACATTCCACACGCATTAACAGACTTTTGGTTAGATCTCCTTGCTAAATGTATATATCATGTATATTTCCATGTAAATGCATGGTTTCAATTTATTGATTAAAGTTGCTTAACTTTGTTAAATTTTATATTTTTTTAATGAGAAACAATGAATTTCATTAAGATGATAAACAACATAGTTTTTTAATTGCATTTTAATTGATATATGATACTTTCTTTTCCTTTTTGATATTAAAAAGTTCTTTGTAGTGCTAGATATTTAGTTGGTAGATTCTGACAAGAGGACTATAAATGACTATAAGACATAAACTGAAACAACTGTTACTTTAATTGACTCTGGTATGAATTGAACACCTATACAAAAAAAAGGATACATATGGCCCTTTATATAATAGTAAAAACCAAATATTGTAGTGCCGCAATCGAACTAGCACTTCTCTTTCAAATCTCACCACTTCTCCCTACCAGTTTCAAAAAGAGAAATCACTTCTCCCTATGATTTTGAAGTAGTGTGAGCCCTTAATTGTGACGTCACAATTTTACAGGAACCTTTGTGATGTCCATTACACATTCCACAATTTGGAACAATGTGGGTTGAAATTAAACCAGATTACAAAAAATCCTTTTTATTATGTTTTGTGTATAGGCCACCAAAGTCACTAATAGATTGGGTTGATGATTTTGAAAAAGAAATAAGAGTGGCAATGACCATGAATTCAGATATAACAATTATGGGTGATTTTAATTTTAATTTTAAAGCACCAAACAAACCTCCTCAAAAATGGCTGAATGTTTTAGAATCGTACAATTTTCAACAACTGATTGTAGATGCCACAAGGGTAACAAAAGATTCTAGTACATTGATTGATCATATTTATGTCAATAATCCAATTATGGTACATGAATCACATGTGTGTAGATATGCAATTAGTGACCATTACCCTATCTGTTTAACAAGGAAAGAAGCAAATATAGGAAAAAAGAATACACACAGTACAATTACTTATAGAAATTTCAAAAATTTCAACCAAAATGAATTTTTATTAGATCTGCAAACTACACCTTTTCATAAAATTGAATTTGAAGAAAACCCCTCTGACTGTCTACAATTGTTTTATGATATGTTGAACAAAGCTTTAGATAAACATGCTCCTGTTGTTAAAAAGAGAGTTAAAAGGGACAGACAGCCTGATTGGTATAACAGTGAAATCATTTATGCTAGGAATATGAGAGATAAATATAATGCACTTGGTTTATGGAGTGAGTATAGATTTTGGAGAAATAAAACTAAACATGTCATAGATAGCTCAAAAAAGAATTATTATAAAAATATGGTAAAAGACTCCAATGACCCTAAAACTTTATGGAAATGTCTTCACAGTCTGAACCCAAAAGTTAAAAATACACCATATGAGTTAGCCACAGAAGATAACAATACAACTAAAAGTAAAAAATCAATAGCAGAAACTTTTAATAACTTTTTCACTTCCTGTGCTGAAAAATTAAGAGAACAAGGAAGTTATACACCTGTAAACAAAGCAGATTTCAGTAATCTTGGCAAATTTGTTAAAAATAAATTACATAAACATGATAAATTTTCTATACCACCAGTGATCATGAATGAGCTATTTAATGAGTTAACAAAACTTGATATAAACAAAGCATCTGGTATGGATAATATAGGACCAAAAATCCTAAGATTAAGCGCCCCTGTTATTGCATCACCTCTCACATACATATTTAACCGAATGATAGATACTGGTATATATCCTTCTTTACTGAAGAATGCTAAGGTAACACCAGTTTTCAAGGATGGTGACAAGCTTTTAGCAACAAATTACAGACCTATATCTGTTCTTCCAACTTTATCAAAATTAATAGAAAGGCATGTTTCTAATAACATGTACAAATACTTATCTAAACTTAACCTTTTACACCCTACACAATCTGGTTTCAGGCCGCAGCATTCTTGTCAAACTGCACTTATTAATATCATTGACAAATGGTTGCAAGAAATGAATGATGGTAATTTAAACCTAGCAATTTTATTAGATTTTAAAAAAGCTTTTGATTTGGTAGATCATGACATTCTTTGCTTAAAGCTTGAAATTTATGGATTTAGTGAGGCTACTGTTAGTTTTTTCAAGTCATACCTGAATAACAGAAAACAGCAGGTAAACATTTGTAATGTTTACTCTGAACAACAACATGTAAAATTTGGTGTCCCCCAAGGTTCTATACTTGGTCCTCTATTGTTTGTGCTATTTATAAACGACCTTCCCTTATGCATTGAAAATTGTGAAACAGACCTATATGCTGATGACACCACTCTTCATAAATCAGGGAAAAACATAGAAAATATACATGATGATGTTCAAGAAGATTTATACAGGGTTGAAGAGTGGTGCAAAATGAATAACATGTTCATTAATGCAAATAAAACAAAATGTTTGGTTACTGGAACAAAGCAGAAACTATCAATTCAGACTTATCAACCAAACTTAATAATAGATTCAAAAGTATTACAAAATTCTTCATGTGAAAAATTATTAGGTGTTAAAATTGACAGCACACTTAACTGGAGAAATCAAATTGACCAAGTTTGTGCTAATATATCATCCAGAATATACCTTCTTTCTAAAATAAAGAAATTTTTAGATATAAATGCAAGGAAAACATATTACAATGGATATATTCTGCCCCTGATTGACTACTGCTGTATTATTTGGGGTGAATGTAAAAATGAAGGGATAGCAAGAATTTTAAAACTCCAAAAAAGGGCAGCAAGATTAATTCTAGATGCAGATCCTTTATCCCCCTCAGCCCCCTTATTTAAAAAACTTGGGTGGATGACAGTTGACAATAGAATAAAATACCACAAATATTTACTTCTATATAAATGTATGCATATGGAAGCACCAATGTACCTAGTTCAAAAGTTTAAACTGAAATCAGATAATAATCCTTACTCCCTGAGAGGCGTCACTCAAGGTAATCTGATAGTTCCTAAGCCAAAAGCTGAGCTATTTAAGAAATCTTTTGTTTATTCTGGATCAGTGTTATGGAATGGACTACCACACAAAATGCGTAAAGCTCAAAACACTTATACTTTTAAACAAAGTATCAAGAAGTACTTAACACAGTCCTGATAAGATTATATTTTCTACAATGTATTTGTATATTCTTTTATCTTTATTTGTATTTGATTTTTTGACTACATGTACATCTTGAACAGCCTTATATCTTATCATGTTAGTAATATTACATTGAACTAATTGACTGTAAATTAACTTTGTGTAAATATCTGTTTTTGATTGTATTGTAATTTGTATGTGAGGGCCTCAGGGAAGATTAGTTTATTGTAACTAACTGAGTTTACCCTCTTTAAATAAAGAATTTATTATTATTATATTATTATTATTAATGGCGCACAAAAAGCGATAAGGTGTATTGAAACCCAAAGAATGCAGGTGTAATATTCCACTGCTCTACCAGCATTATTCAAACTTAAATACTGTATTGCTATTAATTTGACACTTGAAGTTGAACCTTATTGCTATTTTGGAATCAGCGACACTTGACATGAGAAATTGCAACATTTGAACTATTGAATTCATACAACAATAACCTAGTCAATAGACCTTTTGTCTTGTGACTTCAAAATTTTACGGGAACGACTGTGATGTCTAGTATTGTCAGTCAAACAGTGATAAGGTCTACATTTAATAAGCTTGGCATTTACCTACATGAATCTTGATCAAATCTAGCAGCCAGCTAATTGGCTCTCCCTCCCACATGTCTAAGTCGTCTTATAATTCTGAATTTAGAGTGTGTCTTTCTATGTTACACTTTTGTTTCAGGTAAGGTGAAGGTTGTCGCCTATTAAAACGTTTAAACCCGCTGCATTTGTTTGCACCTGGCCTAAGTCAGGAACCTGATGTTCAGTGGTTGTTTTGTTGATGTGGGTCATAGTGTTTCTCGTTTCTTGTTTTTTATATAGATTAGTCCGTTGGTTTTCCTATTTGAATGGTTTTACACTAGTCATTTTTGAGGCCCTTTATAGCTTGCTGTTCGGTGTGAGCCAAGG